AAGCTTAAAAATAAAAAAACCTACTAGGAACTGATCAAATTTAAATAATGTAGAGACGCCCTGCCATACACACGGCCTAAACTTTTACTTTTTGTCCGGAAAAATGAGACCATGCCCTATGAATGGTCTTAAGGCGTGATATCTCCGTGGCATAAAAAAGACGACCAACTCCAGTGTAACAACTATAGAGGTATAATTCTATTAACTGCTTATAAAATACTAGCAAATGTCCTTTAGAAAGACTACAGGTCTACACAGTAGGCATAATTGGAAAAAAACAGGCTGGACTTACTCCAAAAATCAACAATTAACCAGATTCATTCAATAAGACAGATCCTCGAAAAAACATTAGAATTTACCATTGAAACTCATTACCTATTTATCAACTTTAAGGCCGCATACGCCAGTGTCAGGAGAACAGTACTATACCAATCAATGCGTAAGTTTAATATACCAGAAAAACCTATTTGATAAATCAGAATAACAATGTCTACCTTAAAAGTCAGTGTTAGGATAAAGCGAGAAAATTCTAGAATTATAAAGATTAAGGATGATCGCAGACAGGGGGATGCCTTCTATTTATTATTGCCTTGAAAAAGGGTAGCGAGACATAGAAGTTAGAGGCCGTGGTACTTTTTACAATAGATAGATATAAATATGAGTATACGCCGATGACATTGACATGATAGGGCGTAGCAAGAGAAATATAAAAATATATTTCCTAATAGTATTGGAAATGACTGAGAAACTGGTTGGTCTAATCATCAATGAAGACAAAAACAGGTACAGTTGGTTACTAAGGATCTATAGCAAATGAAGAATGGGAAAGTCTTTGGAAGTCATATCTTTGAACGTGTTAATTAAAAGACAAGTAAACCTTACAAATAGCCAAACCAAACGTCGTAACGGTTATTAGAACACAGCGGTTTGGAGATTTGGATGCATAAGACGAATAAGACGACACGATTGTTAGAAAACTAACTACAGGAACAGGAACACAGAAATGGCGATGAATCTTGGGGCAGGCCAAGTTTCACAAAACATTGCCGAGTTAAAGGTGATGCTGATAAGTTTAATATACCAATTATATAAGAAGTTTTACTTTCTTATAAAATGTTTGGCCTCTAATTAACTGTCTCGTGAACGACATATTTTTAAATTATACACTTTCATGTGCAAAAACTCGCTGGATCGAGTGTAATTAGAAATATTTTACTTTGTGCTAAATAGTTAAATAGTTAAATTTAAATAGTTTTAAACATAAAACATTGTATTAGCGTACAAATGAATCTTAAATAGCTAGATACGTAACCAGACAATATTAAATTATAATTTTAAAACCTCCTTATATGTGTATAAAGCTCAACGACCCACTACTTTATTCCACGATAACGTTTCTGATAATGTTTTAAGTTCCATTTTTTAATCATATCTATGTTTTTACTTTTAAACTACAGCATATTTTTTATTTGTTAATATATAATTTTTTACCAAAATTGTACGGTGTAGATAGACGTGGTAGTACTTATTATATAAGTTTGTTCCGATTTTTCTGTTTTCGTTATATGAGCCGTCTAGTTTCAAAACCAGATAGGTCACTTTTTACAAATTGTTCAGGAAGATGAAAAATGTTATAGGGGAGAAGTGGGAGATGTGGGACACTTTTTGAATAATATAATTAAACTTCAACTTCATCTAATGAATCACACTTCAATACTCGTGTTTCCCAGAATCAGATATAAGGAGTTTTTCTTAAATAGTGCTCCTCCAGGAAGCATTGAACTAACTAGCAAGACAGGTTGGATATCAAGTGATCTTTTTAAACAGAGTCTAGAACAAATAATGCATCACACAAAATGTACTAAGGAACAACCAATATTGTTAATTTTAGACAAACACGAGAGCCATGTGGGTTTAGAAGTGATAATGACAGCAAAAGAAAAGGGAGTTATACTTTTAACGTTTCCATCACATTGTAGTCACAGTCTACAGCCCCTCGATGTATCCTTTTTTGCCCCATTTAAAAGTCAATATAACAGAGTTTGTAATGATTGAGTACTGAATATCCCAGGCAAAACCATATTCATTTACTGCATGGGTGATCTTGTGAGGCAAGATTACCCTTTGACAGTAACGCGGAAAGAACATTATTGCTGGTTTTCAAAAGACTGGCATCTACCCTTTCAACAGTGAGCCATTCACCGAAGCAGAATTTTTAATGTCTTCAGTAACTGATTGGCCTCCTCCATCTGCACAAGTTAATGGTACTTCTTCCTCAGCAGAACAAGAATATCTGAAATTGACCATACAGTCAATTCACATCATTCCTCAAAAGATCCTTTTACATCTTTTGAAAAACCATCAACTTCTGAAGACTCTAACGGCACTCTAAGAACTTATAATGCCAATGAAAATCCTGATTACACCTAAGCAAATTTGCCATTTCCTAAAGCTGCACAACGCAAAGAAGCTCGAAGAGAAGGGAAGAGAGGCAGAAGTCGTATTTTAACTAGTACACCAGAGAAAGTAGAGGCCGAAAGATTAGCTCTGAGAGAGAAAGGAAGAAGTCTGGTAAATTACCTGTAGCCATCCGCAATATATCTAATAAGAAGAAAGTTTGTGAAGACTCTGAGTCTTCGTCCGAGGAAGTACAAATTCCATATCAAGATACAGATGATGATCTATAAATATCTCTGAGCTCTGAGGAGGATGAAATGGAATAAATAGATTGGAATAATAGTTCTGCGAATCTTAAGACAGACGATTTTGTACAGAAGTGTAATTCATTAGATGAAGTTAAAGTTGAAATCATGCGTAAAAAAGAAGGAATCTGGAAATTTTATTTTCCGAATGTGGGGGACAATAGCGTTATTGAGAAACAGGAATTGCCTGCACCAATATCATCTGGAGGTACAGAGAGAGTAAAATCATTTTTTGTATTTCGTTTAAATTGTCAAAATACAATGTACAATAAAGAAAAGTTTCTGTTATGTTGAAAAAAAATATTTATTACATCCTGTCCCGGTCCTCCCTACTAGTGTCCCACTCCTCCCAGTGGTATGGGTGGTATGGGACATTTGTAGCTCCTCAAACTATCCATTATACTTCATTTTAAAGAATACTTATATCAGTAATTTTTTAAAAATTGAGTAGGCCAAAGGGCTATAGAAACATATCCTAGCATTATTATTTCACGATGAGTTATAAAATAATTTAAAAAAAAATTATTATTTTTTTAAATAATACTTACAAAAAGTGTCCCACACCTCTCACATCTCCGCTATAAGTTTTTCCATCTTCCTGAATAATTTGTAAAAAGTGACTTATATGGTTTTGAAACTAGACGGCTCATATAACGTAAACAGAAAAATATGTGATGACAATGTCCCAGACCTTTCACGCATGCTATGTCCCAGTCCTCCCAGTGGAGCATTTTACAATAAATGAGTGAACAAACATAACCTTAAGGTGCCCCAGGGTTTTGTATTATATAATTTAGAAACTTAAATAAAAGCTCATCATTATATTGGTTTCTATGTTGCCTTGAAATATTATAATAATCAGAAAAAATAATTTACAAACAAGTTAAAATGTTACCTTTTAAAAATAAAAATTAATAAAATTCTCTCTTGATCACAACACATGTGCTTTTACAACACTAAACAAATAGGAAATACTACAACCAGTAATACATCGAGTGAGAAAGTACAGAACTCATAGTTTACATATAAAGGTGGGAAATTTGAAACGTCCCACACCTCCCTAAAATCTGAAAAAAAATGGATGCACCTGGTTTTGAAACAAGACGACTTTATATACTCTGCTTACTTATTTATAATTAACACGTTTTATATTAAATAATAAAATCTGATCAGGTAAACCTAATTTCTATTAATTAACCTAAAACTAACGGCATGCTTACTAATATCCCTTTTATATAACCAATTTAATTTAAAAAACGAAAGATGAAATTCATACATCCAGGAAGACGATAGATATAAATTCTCATTAACCGAGGAGATCATTGATACTGGTCCAGGTTGTCACGGGTAGCTCTTTCAGACTGCAGACTCAGTAAAACACAGGTTTAAATTAAATGGAAATATATTGAAAATAAATAAATAACAAAATAAAATTATTTTCCGTCGCAACGAAAAGAGCTCTTCAACCTTCTCCTTGCTTCTTAATAACAGCCAAATCAGTATCGTTGATTCTGTAAGATTTCTTGGTATTTTTATAGACAGCAACCTTAAATGGTCCCTTCATATCGATTTGTCAAGTAAAAAACTAGCCTCAGCCTGCTATTCAATAAGATCTGTTTCGAGGGAAATCAATTTAGTATCTCCCATAATAACATATTTTTCTTTGTTGGAGTCTCATCTTTGATATGGCCTTTCTTTTTGGAGTTCTAGTATAGCTGCCCAATCTGAGTTATTTTTAAATTACAAAAAAGAGCAATACGGTATCTTTTTGTCCTCAGTAGAATAACACATTAAAGAGGGTTCTTCAACAGTCATGGAATTTTAGCTTTTTCCTCTTTATATATTCTAGAAACTGTTTGCTTAATTCGTAAACATCTATATATTTTTCAAGAACTAATCATGACAACTCCACCAGAAATTCAAGCTTGATGTCCTATCATAAAAAAACTATACAACCATCTCCCTTTGCAACTTAAATCTACAACTTCTCTCCCTAAGTTCCGTAAATTGACAAAAGCCTATCTATCTCAAAGACCATACAAAATTCCTATGGAATGTTGACAATGTCTCTTATTACTTCAATCCAAAATTACTGGATTTAATTTTAAATTACTTTACTGAAAGAGCACCATAACTGAACTATTGTCTGGTTATAAAAAAGTATTTTATTATAGTTGGGCAGGTTGAATTTTCTTCCTAATAACCAATGATTTTTTTTTATGAAGTTTAATATACCTAATATGCGTTTTAATATAAAACTTTCCAGTTTATTGTACTAAACAAATCCGATTATTGCAGGTGGACACTATCAACATTTCGGAAGTCAACCCAGACGATGATGAAACAGAAGAAGAGGAAGAAGAAATAGTTGACTACGACAATGCAATCGTAGTCAATGACCAACCTCATCTACCACACTTTGGAAGTGTTTCCGTAGTCAACTCAAATGATGTTCATTTTGGTAACAAAACAGTGTACAAAGGTCCTGTGACTATAAAACAATTTGTGTATCCCAAAAGTGATATAACTAGTGAGGTCTTTAGTAATTTAAGTGAAGTGAAATGGATTAAACGAACTCAACTCAATAAATGGTGGTAGTAAGGTGTTACATAGTGAAGGAGTAGATAATCCAAGTTTTGTCAAAGGAGACCCAGAAATTGGTCGTGACAAACCAGAGGAGAGGGAACAAGAGACTGATTCTGTAACTGATAGAATACGGAAAAGTAATTATTATTATGATATTTAGTTTATGGCTGAAAATTTATTGTACTTATATGATTAATTATTATTAATAATTTTTTGATTCAATACTTCAATATATCGGGTGTTTTATTATGTGTTAGGAATATATATATAACAGCAATTATATATATAAATATATATATATATATATATATAAATATATATATATATATATAAATATATATATATATATATTATAACAGCAATTCCTCGCATTGACCAGTCTAGAACGAACAAGCAGGCGAAATTCATTCAACCTCATATACAAATAGTAAACGTCAAACATTATGGCTGGATGATCCGCCACAAGGTGATCAACGAAAAAATAATTTCCACAGTCCAAGGTTCATCCACTTGGACTGTAATTTTGTAAAAGATTCTATGAATCAATTACATTATTTGTTTTTAAAATATTTAAGTAAAGACAGTTCATACTAATCTAAGTATGAAAATAGAGTAAGTAAATGCAATGTAAGTTGCATATGTTTTATATGATTTAAGTGACAATATGAATTATTTTTATTTAATTATGGATTTATTTCTATTTAATATATATTTTAAATTATTTAATAAACAAATGTGTTAAATTGTACACCTTGCAAGACACTTATATAGTGAATAAATCGTAAAGCCTAATATATGCAAAATTAACGCAAGATATAGGGGAAAAAGCGTGTACCTTGGGACAAAATTTACTTTTAAATTTTTATGTTTTTTTCTTTCATCTGAAACTGAAATGTATTTGATCCATGTAAAAGAATGAAGATTTAGGCACTGGACTGATATTAAAAATATCGATAATAACCAACGAGTAAATCAGTAATTACCATATAAGTGTACAGTGATATTAGTCCCAAGGTTCAACCTGTGGTTTACCCTTGGGACAGTGTTGTTTGTACATTGGGACATGAACTGACTGTATTTATATAAATAAAACAAATATTGAAATAACTTTTTTAATGATGAAAAAACCAATAAAAGTATTTTATTGTATTTATATATTATTTAAAAGAAATATTTTGTGGAAAGGCAATGTTGAATGAATGAAATCCTCGCCGTATTTTGGGCACAGGCAACACTTTCACTATGCTTGAATGCTTCACGACGGCAATATCTTCAACATTTGGGAAGACAAAATAAACTTTCCGTTTTCGGAGAAACTTCACAGTAACTTCTTGGTTTATGCTTTCTTGAACCAAACCAGCATAGTAAACATCAGTGGATGTAGCTTTTCCAGTGACTTCAAATTTTACCACAACCCAGCTGCCAATGGTAAAATTGAGTGCAACTTTGTCTGATGGAAAGAAATCAGGAACATCTTCATCTTCGGAACTTGAGTCAAATCTGCTTCCATCAGAGATGTCTTTAAGCTCGAGCTCGTCTTCATCTTCAGACGAAGAAGAAGATACAACTAGTGCTCTTTTGACTGCCTCTTTTTTCCTCGGGACTGGCTTACATATTTTAATTTTCTGCTCCTTGATTTTCTGCAACTCCGGTGAGTCTGTGACAATCATACATCTTCCCGGTCTCCTTCCCCTTCCACCAGTCTTACGCGGTGGAACCTTCGGAAATGGGCGAATTTGTTCAGGGGTCATTCCAGTAGTGGAACATGGCGCACTGCTTGTTGATGGTATGGCTTCATCAACTTCCATAAGTTCTGTCTCTTCAATATCAGTTTGTTTTGGTTCATATGGCCTGTTGGTCACCTCAGCTGGTAAGAACTCATGGTCTCCGAACACGTTTGCATTAAATGGCCATATACCTGCTACTTTGAAACCTGACGAAATGTTATTTGGGGTAAACGCCAATGGGAATGCTTTTCCTATCAGCTCTGACATGTCGTAAATAGATATAGGCTTTCCCGGATGGTTCAGCATCCAATCTTTGCTAGCATTATTGAAATAATTTTTAAATGGCCCAAACACAGACCTATCCAACGGCTGAAGTTTGTGACTGGTATGCGGAGGAAAGGTTAAAATTACTATTCCATTATCCCTAGCTATGTGTATAGCAGCCAATGAGAGGTGGCTTTCGTGGTTGTCGAGGATAAGCAACACTTTATTTTCAGGAGATGGCTTCACAACTGAAATGAAATGTTGAAGATATTCAACGAACAATTCAGCATTGGACCAACCACTAGAAGTTGCCATACCAATAGTTCCAGGTGGTGCGTTGTTAATCATGTGCTCTTTGAAGTGAACACGTGGAAAAATTATACCTGGTGGAATAAATGTTCCGGCAGCGCTAACGCAGGCTATCATAGTAACATTAATACCCCTCTCGCCAGAAGTAGCTGCTCCAATTTGCTTAGCTTTTATATCGCCAAGCACACGAACTGGCTTGTGAACAGTAGGGCAGCCGGTCTCATCGAGATTCCACACATTTTGAGGTGTTAACTTTAATCTCGAATAAATTTCTTCCAATTTATCAAAAAATATTAAAACGTTTGGCTTGTTGAAACAGGCCATTCGACCTAAGCTTGTGGCTTCAGGCTTCCGAAGAGATATTTTGTTATTATAAGAAGTTCTAAAACATCGGTACCATTGTCTACCAGCAGTTTTATTATTATCCCATGATTCAGGGTAGTTCACATTGTTGAGTTTGGCGTACTGATATGCTAGTTTTCGCATTTCTTCAACAGTGACACCATAGTTCCACTGTGCAGCTTTGATAATGTAAGTGAGCAGTTCGTTTTCTTGTTCAGTACTGAAGACTTTGCGTGTTGAATTATTCGCTTCATACTTGAAAGTCGCTTTCATAGACACTTTATGTTTTTGAATATGCCTACCAAGAGTACTTTTTGAAACACCATACAGATTAGCTATTTCTCTCAAAGGTCGACTATGCGCCAGTATCTCATTGGCAGCTGCTTCTAATGCTTCTGCATCTGGTTTCACCCTTTTTTTTCCTGTAGCACTTCTTCCCATCTGCAACAATAAGATTAACATTAACACGGTGAAGAAAAATATCTGGTTGTACCTTGGGACAAGTCCCTACGTACAACCATAACAACGTCCCAAGGTACAACCAAGCACATGTTTTACTAAATCTAACCTCATCAATTTAAAGTAAAGTTTTTTCTCATAAAATATAGTTTACAGTGAGCATTAAATATATAAAGACGAAATACGCCGAAAAAATTCAACCAATAGTTCTTACCGTGCTTTTCCTATTATTTTATAAAGATGGATAAAATTTACTTCACGGACACCAAAACGTTTTACACTTGTCGTCACATCAAATGGCTGCTGACGGAAACGCGAATGTTTGATGTAAGTGGAGACAGTGTTGCCATCATATTACAAATTTCTCAGATTTCTCGCTACAACGGTTACATTTTTATAATGATTGTCCCAAGGTAAAACCGTCCCAAGGTACACGCCTTTCCCCTATTTGCCTCAAGTTACTCTATGTCTCATGTTCTCTTATTTTAGAGCATTCGGGTGTTTAAGAATTGAACACATTTCCAAAAACTGTCTTTTAACGAGATTGCGTTTGAGTGCCAAGAATCTTAACTCCATTAAAATCCACTCTATGTTTGGCATTGATCGCGTATTGCGCCAGAGCACAAGTGTGTTTTGATAAATTAATGTCACTACGATGGTGTAGTGAGACGACCTTTTAATGATCTCGCAGTCTGACCAATGTGACATAAATCGCACTCAGCACAAGGAATGTGATAAATCGTCTTAACTTGTTCCAAAGTGGACAAGAGTGTTTTAGTTTTTTGAAAACAAATTTCTAACAGTCGTAGCATTCTTGACCGCAATTTTGACAGGTATGCTATTCGGTTTATACAGTTTAATAAGCCTTCTCAGTAACTTGAGGGAAATAAGGTAAAGATGAATAATGGGTGGTAGGATTCTCAAGATCAGTATCAGGCAGAACAATGCTATTAATTGAATTATTTGATATAGTTCTAAGTTGGTCACCATTGGGTATGTCCATAGCTTTGTGAGTAAAGGTATTTATTTATGATAGAGGAAGGATATGACATTCTCTATTAGAATATTTCTTAATAACTTAAGGGATTCCCTTCGATTAATTGGAGATGTCAATTTATTTAATCGGCAGCTTAAAACTTTAATAAGGCTTAATTTGTATTTCATTAGGATGACAGGAATGGTAGTTAAGGAACCTATTGGAGGCCATCGGTTTTCTATACCAACTTGTGGTTAGGGTGTTATCTCGAATTCTAATGACACGCATGTCTAAAAAAGTGAACACTATTGGTGACAATCTTCAAGTTCAACACTGAACTGTAAATGAGGATCAAACTCATGAAAAAAGGATAAGGTACCCGGTACCTATATATATATATATATATATATAATATATATATATATATATATATATAATAATATATATAGTTGCCAGCTCCTGAGAAAGATATTTAAATCTTGTTAATCAGGGATTGAATGAAAACTAGAAACGTTTCCTTACTGGTATGAAGTTTATGGAGCTTCCAATTCGAAAGTGAGCAGGATGTTATAGATAAAGGTTCCAAATGATTGTAGGACATAGGATTTAAACGGCGTGAATTTAGTATACCTTCTACCTGAGTAAGCTAAACGAGAGCCTGTAATAATTTTTTTTTAATTAAATTTCATAGATTTTACTCCTGCGTCTCATATTTCGTCGAAATTAGTAGGCTGCGAAGAAATAAATTGGCAATTGATTTAATTGCAGCAAGATTCCGCAATTTTTGTTTTATTAGATTTACTCAACTTACCGACATGCTTAAGAGCGTAGGCGCAAAATTTCGAGCTAATGCTTTTTAAATGCATTCATTTTTTTCGAATTATGAGAAAACTAATAAGTATTAGTGAAAAATTTAAACGCAGAATGAAAGATTACGTTATTATCGGGGGCCAAAAGTCTCTGAAAACTTCTATAATGTTTAATTTAGTAAGTTACAGGGGTAAACAAAAGAGAGAAAAAAGTGTAATTTTTAATTTTAAATATCTCATTTAAAAAAAAT